ATTTCCACTGACAGTGTACAAGGGATACCTTTGCTCTATATCCTCACCAGCATTTGTTATTGCCTGTCTCTACTAGAAAATCCATTTTAAGTGGGGTGAGAGATGATCTCTCATTTGATTCATATTTCTCTGAAGATCAATGATATTGATGTTGAGTATCTTTTCATATATGTATTAGCCATTGGTATGCCTTTCTTAAGGAGTTTTGAAACAGGTCTCACTTTGTCACTCAGGTTAGAGTGCAGTGGTACAATCACAGCCTACTGCAGCCTCAACCTCCCAGGCTCAGGTAAGTTTCACACCTAAGTCTCCCAAACAGCTGAACCTACAGGCACATGTCACCAAGCCTGCCTAATGCCTCCTCTTTTTCAGAAATGTCTATTAAGATATTTTGCCCATTTTAAAAATCAGATTAGATTTTTTTCTATGAAGTTATTTGAGCTCCTTAAATATCCTGGTAATTAATCCCTTGTCAGATAGTTTTCAAATACCTTCCCCCATTCTGTGGGTTGTCTCTTCACTTTGTTGATTGTTTCCTTTGCTGTGCAGAAGCTTTTTAACTTGATGTGACCTAATTTGCTTGTTTTTGCTTTGGTTGCCTGTGCTGATGAAACATTATGCAAGAAATATTTGCCCAGTCCAGTATCCTGGAGAGTTTTCCCAACGTTTTGTTTCCGTTTCATATTTGAGGTATTAGATATAAATCTTTTTATTATTTTTTTAAAAATAGAGGCAGAATGTCACTTCATTGCCCATGCTACTGTCGAATTCCTGGGCTAAAGTGATCCTCCCATCTTGGCCTCTCAAAGTGCTGGGATTACAAGCATGAGCCACAGAGTCCCGCAGAGATTTACATCTTTCATCCATATTGATTTGACTTTTGTATTAGGTGAGAAATAGAGGTCTAGTTTCATTCTTCTGCATATGGATATCCAGTTTTCCCAGCACCACATATTGACGAGACTGTTATTTCCCCATTGTATGTGTTCGGCACCTTCATAGAAAATGAGTTCACTGAAGATGTATGAATTGGTTTTTGGGTTTTCTATTCTGTGCCATTGGTCTACATGCCTGTTTTTAATCACAGTGCCCTGCTGTTCTGGTTACTGTAGCTGTAGAGGATAATTTGAAATCAGATAATGTGATTCCTCCAGGTTTGTTTGGTTTTTGCTCAGGATAGCTCTGGATATTCTGAGTCTTTTGTAGTTGCATATAAATTTTAGAGTTCATTCTTTTATTTATATTTCTGTGAAGAATGTCATTGGTTTTCGAAGCCTTGTGGAGGTACCACATTGGTGGTCTGAGATCAGACCTGGAGGAATTCTCTGGATTAGCCAACAGAGACTCCCTTCTTCCCTTAATTTCCCAAAAAGGAAGTCTGTCTCTCTGTGCTAGGCTGCCTGGAGCTGGGAGAGGAGCAATACAAGCACCCCTGTGGCCACAACCACTGGGACAGCACTACATCTGTCCAGAGAGCATTAGGTCTGAAGCTGGCACAGCACTGTGACTGCCCAAGGCCCACTGTAACAAGTACCCGCTGCCACTTATGTCACTCAAGGGCCCAGGGCTCTACAATCAGCAGATAGTGAAGCCAGCCAGGCCTCTGTCCTTCCCTTAAATGCAGTAAGCTCCCCTGGTCCCTGGATGGGTTCAGAGGTGCTATCTGGGAGCCAAGGCTAAAGTCCTAAACCTTAGACATCTACCTGGTATTCTGTTCTACCATGGCTGGGCTGGCACTGAATCCACCAGGCAAATCCCTTCTTACTTTTCCCTCCCCTTTCCCCAGGCACAGTAGTCTGTCCCCACATACAACATCATCACAGTCCCATGGGGATTAGTGCCAGATCACCACGGAAGTTCACTTAGTAATACCCAAGGCTCTCAGTCAGCTTGTGGTGAATGCTGCCTGCCCTGGAACTCATTCTTCAGGGCTGTGGGCACCCCTCTGGATCAGGGTAGGTCCAGAGATGCCATCCAAGAGCCAATGCCTGAATCGTGGACTCCTACAGCTCATCTGGTGCTCCTCTCACTGTAGCTGAGCTGGTATCTAAGCTCAAGAACACTCTTTACTCTTCCCTCAGCATTTGTCAAGCAGAGGGAGTCTCTCCTCGTAGCCACCATAGCTGGGAATGTGCTGGGTCACACCTGAAGCCAGTATATCTCTCAGTCTCACTCCAGGCCCATGGCATGTACCATCTGGTCACCACTGATGATTATTACAGGTCCAAGGGCTTTTTCATCAGAAAGTGATGAATCCTGCCATTACTGAGTCCTTCCATTTAGGGTAGCAAGTTCCCATCTGGCCAAGAGCTTGTCTAGAGATGTTATCCCAAAGCTGGGACCTGAAATGGGGGGGCAGGCTCATGGTTCTGACCAGTCCCCTCTTCTACTGTGGCTGAGCTAGTATCCAAGTTGCAAGACAAAGTCCTGTTTCCTCTTTCCTACCCTCAAGCGGAAGAAAGAGGTCTCTGTCAGAGCTGCGAGCTGCACTGTCTAGGATTGGAGGAGGGATGGGCGAGCACTCCCTAGCTGCCACAGCTGCTGTCTCTCTGGGTCACATGCCCCCAGACACACTGGCTCCAAGAACAGCACAGCACTCGGACTTGCCTATGAGTTGTGGTCCTTGTGGCCTAGACAGCCTTTCAGGTGTATTAAGGACCCCAGAGTTTCACAACTCAAGTTGCAACCACTGGGATGAACAATTCTCCTCTGGCTGGGGCTAGTCTCAATGTTTTTTCCATGGGTGGGCATTGGGTGAGTTCAGCCTTGTTTTGCTTTCTGCTATGACAAGGGAGCACTGAGTTCAGTGCAAAGTCCCACAGCTGCTGTGCTCTCCCTACCCCAAGCAGGTAGCCTCTCTTCTTACCACAGGTTCACAGGGGTGGAATCAGCAATTCAAGACTGTCTTTTCTAGGTTGTTTCAATGCCTCATATCTAGGTTTTGATATGAAGTCAAAACCATGTGCTGTGATCACTTACCTGATTTTTAGTTCCTATGGAGGTGCTTTTTTATTTAAATAGTTGCTCAATTTGTTATTCCTATGGGGAGCACAAATGGCAGAGACTTCTATTCAGCCAGCAGGCGCCAACCCTGTGACTGCACACATTCTGAATGACAGTCTTATCTGGAGTAATAAGCAAATGTAAAAACTAAAACAAAAACCTGGAAAAACCTAAACTTCTTGCCACTGCCTAAGGATCTTGATCTTCATATCCTGCTCAATGTCAAGAGGTATTCCTTCAGATTTTCCTAAGTGTCACCCCCAAAGCCATTCTCGCTGTCTAGTGGACACTGTGAGAGCCTGTGCTGGAAATGCCTCCCTGGCTCACCCTGACAACCAGCTCCAAAGACCTTCCCTTTACAGCAGTTATCAGGCCAGACTGGAAGAAAGACCCATGAAGCTCCTGTTTCAGTGGCATGTTGGTGCCATCTGTGAGCAACCCCATGACTCAGCAAGATTTCTTGTACTCTCTTAGGTAACTCAGGACCCTCCCAAGTGCTGCTGTGGCTGCATGAGTGCCCCAGGAACCTCCTGAGTGTGGTGGGCATTGGGTGATGCTCCGCGATGTTTCTCAGACTGCCTGAGGGGAACACTGGAACTTCTAACTCATCAGCCCAATGATGCAACACTCAGAAGGGGGAGGGGACAGGGGCACAGGGATCTGTGGCTATTCTGTATCTCAAGGTTTCAATAAAACAGATCTTCAGATAAAAGCAGGGGGAAGACCAGCAAAAGCAAACACACAATGTATGACTCAGGGTGAAGCTATACTTCACAGTGCAGAGGTCCTGGACCTGTCAATGACCAAACAATTATTTCAAAGGCCAGACATGTGCTCCTGACAAAGAGACTGCAACTTTCAGACAGCTTGTAAAAAGCCATACGGATATTTACTGTACTATTATGTTCTGGTAGTATACTGGTAAGATATTTGCCAAAAACATTCACCAGAAATATACTTTTCCATTTATGAGATTATTTACAACAGCAATTTACCAAGACCTACCAATGAACAGTGAAAAATATGAACTGTTGTTCTAAAGCTGGGGAGAAAGAGTATGTGGTATTTATGTCAGTTCTTATTATCTGCACAAGGTAACCTTTAATAATATTTCTTAAAGTGTTAAAGTTTATGGGAGCAAATCAAGTATTCAAAAATGGTTAGAAAGTTCACAAAAACCATACAAACTCACATATCTTCAACTGTAATATTCTCTTTGAGAACAGCTCTCTTCTCAAAGAGCTTGCAGTAGTGCTCATGGCACACAGCGACATCATGCCCAACCCTGATGTCAAGTAGAGTGGCTCCAAAGACAATCCTCTTCCAGTTGGTTGGACAGATGTTGATATCAGCATAACTTACAAGTCTTTCGATGTATACCCACAAAACAGGGGACTGGCCTTTGACTTAGCTGGGTTGAAGTGCTGTGATGAGAACTCTTATGGTTTTGGCCAGAAAGTAAGTGCCTTTTATTCTTATGTTCTACAAAGGCTTTGCTTGACCAGGCCAAGCAAGGGACCATATCACAATCATAGATTAAATATTTCTGCTACCTACTCTGCCCAGCAGGGGTAGATTAGGCACATCCGAGGAACAATGAATTGAAGCAGCAGCTCTCAATCACAACATACGTCAGAATTGCCTGGGGATACAGCCTGGGACTCAGCTTAGACGTAGCATCTATTCCTGCCCATCAACAGGATGGTTTTGTTACTACTCCCCATTCCAAGCCCTCCGCATGCCCTGGATGTGAGTGCACTGTGTATGCATGTGTGCACTGAAGTGTGGGGGGAGAAATCAGAAATCCTTCCTGCTGCCCTTAATAGCAATTGTTCTGTGATGAGAAAAGCAATGGCAACATTTTCAGCCATGATGATGACTCAACTCCAATGTGTGTATTTGCTTTCATAAGTTTCTCTTAAAGTTCTGAGATAATTTCAGAAACCTACCTTTATTTAAAAACAGGACCATGCCACCCTGTTTACAAGATCAATTTCTTTTGTTTCCTTTTTTTTTTTTGGAGATGGAGTCTCTCTCTGTCACCCAGGCTGGAATACAGTGGCTTGATCTCTGGTCACGGCAAACTCGCCTCCTGAGTTGAAGCAATTCTCCTGCCTCAGCCTCCTGAGTGGCTAGGACTACAGGGGCATGTCAGCAAGCCTGGCTAATTTTTGTATTTTTAGTAGAGACAGGGTTTAACCATGTTGGCCAGTCTGCTCTACAAGACCAATTTCTAAAGATGCTTTATAAACAGATAATAGCTCACCAAACTTCTGATTGCCAAGTCAGCTGTTAGCCTTTGGCTTTAAATAGAGTATGAAGAAATGTGAAAATCAATTTGTATCCAGGATCATACTTAAAGTATTCCTCCAGAAGCCGTTCTTGCTGAAAGAAGAAAAAATGCAATGTAAGTATCCACTGAATAAAAAACCTGAAGTGCTCTTAAGACAGCAGTGTTCCCATTTGTGCCCATCATATCACAGTAATTTTGATGAGTGAGATGTCTTTCAGATTTTACAATATGAAAAGTGGGATCTTAAAATACCATAATGATTTAATACTCATCAGCATTCGCTCAAAAATCATATGAGCTTAACCTCAGAAAATTATTGTGCTTTTTTACTCTTTCCCCCACATAATTCCATCCAAATGTAAGTTACTTTTAGGCTTTAATGTCTTACTGACCATATGTCACTCTTTTTCGGCAATAAACTGAGAAAACGTAGTTTCCTGTAACCATGAGGCTCTAAGCCTACGCTGTTAAATGCAATCATTACTAGCCACATGTGGCTATTACATACCTGAGGAAGCACATTTTTAAATTTTTACACCATGTAAGTTGATTTAAACTTAAATTATTTTTAACTCTCTTCATAAAAATCATGCTTCTGTGTCAAAAGTACTTTTTAACACAGTACTTTTTAAAAGATACATTTTCTGTTATTTGGATATTATATTTACTCATACTAGCTCATTCACTGAAGAGAGCTACAGATTGGTTCTTATTCCAGCACATTCTTTTTACAGCACTTAAGATGACTAAATGCAACACAAAATGGGGGAGAGGATTTAAAGAAAGATGACTGAGTTCAGCATGAAACAAATGCCAGTCTATGATGCAAATACAACTTCAGTAAAAGTGCCACTTACTGTAAGTGGGTGTAACCATTCATCAAAGATGCCCAAAGTTCTATCGGCATCTCTGTAAAATATCTTAGTAAACTATCTGTTTAGTAAAATAATGCCTCCTATGTGCTCTGGTGCTTACTTCAGCAAAGCAAACAGTTTTTACAAATTCTTCTCCTGGATCCTGACCTGCAGAGGGTTTCCCAACCTCTTCCTCAGCACAACATGTCCTGTGCTATGAATTCTTTTTTACGATAACCAGTCAGAACTGCCTGTAAGTATCGACCCTTAACAGGCAATGACAACAAACCAAACATATTTTCACTCTTCTAACCATGCACTGAAACACAAGAACATTTTATGAAGCAGTAGTGGTGGGCAATAAAGTCTTTAGAACTTTAATAAATCAAAAGGTGATTCAGATTTTCTAACTTTCTTTCTCTTTAGTTCTCTGTAGCATATTTCATGATGTATTTATTTTCTGTTGTTTGAATTAAAAACTCGTCTGCCTTATTTTAAAAGAGGTCAGTCTTTGACAAACTTTAAACTTCATAAAACTAATGCACTGTGCTTGTGTAATAAACCAGCAGTTCTCCAAATGTGCTCTGTGGACCTCTGGGGATCCCCAAGACCCTTTTCCAGAAGGTCTAAGAGGTCACCTTTCCCTTCCCCTTTCCTTCCTTCTTTTTTTTTTTTTTTTTTTTTTTGAGACAGGGTTTCACTCTTGTTGCCCCAGGCTGGAGTGCGATGGTGCAATCTTGGCTCACTGAAACCTCCACCTCCCAGGTTCAAGAGATTCTCCTGCCTCAGTCTCCCGAGTATCTGGGATTACAGGCACCCACCACCATGCCCAGCTAATTTCTGTATTTTTAGTAGAAATGGGGTTTCCCCATGTTGACCAGGCTGGTCTTGAACTCCTGACCTCAGGTGACTGCCTGCATGACCTCCTAAAGTGCTGGGATTACAGGCCTGACCCACCATGCCCACCCAACACTGTTCTGATAATCATACTAATTCAACCTGAGAAAGCTGATTAAAAACATTTTTTTAATTATGAAAGTAATACAAAGACACTGCCTGCTTTTTCATAGACACTTGCCATGATCGTATAGAAGCAAAGTGGGTAAAACGGCTGGTTTTCAGCCTAAATCAAGGCAGTGGTACCAATTACACTGGTAGTCATTCTATGCTTTATTGTCCATTACAGTTAAAAAAGGTAGGCTGAAGTACTTACGAATGTCTTTGATGAAGCAGTAAAAAATGGTGTTACTAAATCTTGACATGTCGCTTTAATATTCTGAATCAATGGAAAGTTAACAAGAAGTGCTTCTGCTGACTGTAGTACCGTTGTGTTTAAAAAAAAAAAGAATTAGTGATTTAATTGTGAGCTGAACAATCACTGTTTTCACAGGACATCATTTTTATTTAAAAGTACAACTGGGCCAGTGCAGTGGCTCACGCCTGTAAAATCACAGCACTCTGGGAGGCTAAAGCAGGCAGATCCCTTGAGCTCCTTCAGGAGTTCAAGACCAGCCTGGGCAACATGGCAAAACTCTGTCTCTACCAAAAATACACAAAAATTAGCCAGGCATGGTGCCACATGTCTGTGGTTCCAGCTACGCAGGAGCCTGAGGTGAGAGGACTGCTTGAGCTGAGATCATGCCAGTGCACTGCAGCCAAGTGAGAGTGAGACTTCATCTAAAAAAAAGGGGGCAACTATCATTCTCAAAAATAAATGACATGAAGTGACAACTTGAAGGAAAATAAGTATTTGTTCCCAATGATAAAATTTAAGCTTTCCTAAGGACTCTGAAAAACTCGTTCTTTCTACTATAGCTTGACAGCTTTTCAATACGTAAGATATTTTAAAAGATTGGTGGTTAAACTAAAAGTGATTTTTGACAAAATAAAGCATAAACCAACATACTCCAAATAACTAATGCATAATATTATAAATGCAAGTATGGGGGAAAAGATCAATTTACCGTGCAAGAAAGATGAGTGAGCACTGATGGAATAAATTTAGTAATATGAAAAGGCCACTGTAACTAAGAAAGTGGCACTTGTGAAGTTTTGACTTAGCATTAACGAATACCCACAACTGTCTCAGAGCTTTAAAAATACACCTTTTACCAACTACATATTTGCATGTTAGGTCATGTTATTGCCTTGTTCTTTTTTAAAAAAAAAATATTTGAGACAGAGTCTCACTCTGTCACCCAGGCTGGGGTGCAATGGCGTGATCTCCACTCACTGCAACCTCTGTCTCCTGGGTTCAAGCGATTCTCTTGCCTCAGCCGCCCCAGCAGTTGGGACTACAGGTATGCACCACCACACCCACCTATTTTTTGTATTTTTAGCAGAGACATGTTTTCTCATAGTGGTCAGTCTGGTGTCAACCTCCTGTTCTCAACTGATCCGCCTGCCTCGGCCTCCGAAAGTGCTGGGATTACAGGCATATGCCACCATGCCTAGCCATCTTAAAGTAAATTCTCTAAAGCAAATGGCAAAGAAAGAGCTAGAGAACCCAGCTTTCTTCTACTAAGCTCCACATTAGAGATTTTCAATAATAGAAATACCTGACACACTTTTTACTCAACTTTCTGCTGAAAAAAGTTCTTTTTTCTTTCTTTTTTATTTCCAGTTTCCTGATACATGAGAAAAAAGTTATTTTTTCATTAAAAAATTTATGTTAACAATATTGTTCTCAAAGAATACTTTCTATTGGCAAAACTTGGGTCATGGGTTACTACTGACATCTAGTTGGTACAGGCCATCAATGCTTTCTGCAATGCACAGGACAAAGCATTATCTAGCTCATGATATCAACAGTGGTAAGGCTGTGAAATCTCAGCTAAAAATAGATTTGGAAAAAATCTCAATTTTATAGTTCTACAACAGTAAATATCAATATCATCAATATAAAGACATACTCTTTGAGATCCCCAATCATTTAAGATTCAAGAGAGTCTTAAGGTCCAAAGAAAACACAAATAATTTGCCTCAATATTTTAGTAGGCACAATACAGCTTATGATGTCTAGACCTATGACCTAACACTGAGCTTGATAGCTTGCATATTTGCTAGAATAACAAGACAGGTTTTTTAAAAGCTCACCTTTGCTTGATATGATAATATATCTCCAAGGCCACAGTGTGGAAGGAAAAACATTCATAAAAATATATGTTATCACTGGTTAGGCCTGAAGACATTTTTTTAAAAGGGTGCAGAGGAAACCCCTAGCGGCCCTGAAATGAAAATCTTCTGGTTCAGAACAGTACCACAGGGGCACTTTCTTGTTTTCATTTCTTGGCTTTCGGCAAAAACATGAGAACCAAAATGCAAGGCAATATGCTGTTAGAAGACGTGTTTCTGTTGATTATTATAATATATAAATAATAACATATTTCCCTGTTATATGCTCTTCTACCCATAAAACCTTTCATCCCATGCAATTTATTTTATGTATGTATTTATTTTTTGACCCAGAGTCTCACTCTGTTGCCTAGACTGGAGTGCAATGGCGTGATCTTGGCTCACCACAACCTCCACCTCCAGGGTTCAAGCAATTCTCATGCCTCAGCCTCCCAAGTAGCTGAAACTACAGGTTTGCACCACTATGCCCGGACAATTTTTATATTTTTAGTAGGGGCAGGGTTTCGCCATGATGGTCAGGTTGGTTTCAAACTCCTGGCCTCAACTGATCCCCCTACCTCAGCCTCCCAAAGTGCTGGGATTACAGGCATGAGCCGCCACACCCAGCCTCATGCAATTTATATCTATGTGTACATATGCTTAAATTTCAGCCACAAAGTAGTGGTTTCTTTTTTAAGATGTTAGGCCCTGCATTTTAGTTTAGTTTCTTATCTCCTACCCACCCATTTTTTTATTATTTCCCTAAAAATGTATCACATAATGAAAGTGCTTTCTAACAAATAAAAGTTATTTGAAATCGCTGTTGCATAATTATTAGAAAATATATCAGTAAACATAAGCTCACATTATATCAATGATAGGTGCAGCAATCCTAAAATAAGCAGTGCTAACAAGGCCGTGTAACATGACACAGTGTCATATGAATGGCAGGTATCTTCAATTAGTTTAACTGAAATATTTACGAACAGATACAGCTCTTCAGATATATGTAACTGTATTTCTAAGGTACCCACAGATGCTGTGTATCACAAAACAAGAGCATCTCTTACATAAGTTATGTGCTTCCATTTGCCGTCAGCATCTAGAATGAGGCTCAAAATAACTGAGGGAAAGCAAATCTCAATTTTAGTAATAGGTCTGTATAATAGCAGCACTTTTCAAAAAGCCTGCAACATTAGCATTTAAGCATTTAAAACTACTTCAAGTAGTTTTCATCTCTGAAGTAAATTTTTTTTTTTTTGAGACAGAGTCTCGTACCTTCACCTAGGCTGGAGTGCAATGGTGGAATCTCAGCTCACTGCAACCTCTGACTCCTGGGTTCACAAGATTCTCCTGACTCAGCCTCCTGAGTAGCTGAAATTATAGGTGTTTGACACCACGCCTGGCTAATTTTTTGTATTTTTAGTAGAGACAGGGTTTCACTATGTTGGCCAGACTGGTCTCGAACACCTGACTTCATGATCCACCCACCCTGGCCTCCCAAAGTGCTGGGATTACAGGTGTAAGACACTGCACCTGGCCTTGAAATAATTTTACAATCACAGAATTTGAAGGTATATGCTGGAAAGGACCAATGACCTTACATGACATTTAATCCAACACTCACTTCACAGATCAGGGATACAAATCTTAAAAAAACTGACTTGCCCAAGGTCCACCAAATAGGAGAAGTTACTCATCCTAAACTCAAATTAGGCAGTGACTCTCAAATTTTGCTGCACATTAAAATCACCTGAGAAGCTTCAATAACTGCCTCATTTTAAACATGAGACATTTTGATTTAATTAGCATTAGATATAACTTTGGACATCGAGGGTTGTTGTTAAAAGTTTCCCAGGTGATTTCAATGCGCAGGAAAATTTGGAATGATTGAGTTGGGGTGAAAATCAGAATCTTACAGCATGCTTTTCTTCACATAAAGATGCCTCACATCGGTCCCTATTTTCCTAAAAGGCTTCTCAGTGCCTAGAGATAGAGGGACAGTGGAGACAGGAAGATGCATGTGTTTCCAGACATGTATTTTGAAGAAAAACTTTGCAAAAGTGATCCCAGTGAGTTCCATCTATCCCATTGATAACGGTGCACTACTAACTCATATTTTCCAAAATCTTTTCTTGAAGCCAATTTGCCCTATTAATTTGCTCAATTAACCTCTATTTCACCAATAGCAAATACTCTTAAAAAAATTGTAACTTGCTGATGGCAAGTTAAAACTTACTTTACTTTTGAAAGTACACTTCTAAAAATTAGAATAATGAGGAAAAAAGCATGAAATTTCTTTGAGCAAGATTAACCTTAAAAGCTACTTTTGAATGGTATGCTAACACATCAAAATCTTTTGAATTCAAAAGAAACCAGGGACTCCAGCCAAAATTGTTTGTTTTCCTGCTCAAAGATTTAAGAGACAGCCAGGTGACTGGTGATCCCAGCACTTTGGAAGGCCAAGGTGGGTGGATCACCTGAGGTTGGGAATTCGAGACCAGCCTGACCAACATGGAGAAATCCCGTCTCTACTAAAAAAAAATAAAAAATCAGCCAGGCATGGTGGTGCATGCCTCTAATCTCAGCTACTCAGGAGGCTGAGACAAGAGAAACGCTTGAACACAGGAGATTCCGGTAAGCTGAGGTAGCGCCATTGTACTCCAGCCTAGGCAACAAGAGCAAAACTCCATCTCAAAAATAAATAAATAAATAAAAAGATTGGATAGATTTGGCTGACTACAGACATTTAGTGATTACTCAATGGGTCCCAAAGCTCAGGACCTGAGACAGAGTTTGAGTCCAGTTTTTGCTAAAACACAATTTCATCTCAACTACTGTTATAAGGGAGAGAGGAAAGTGGCATTATTACAAGTGTAAACTTGCAATTTTTAATTAAAGTAAAAGTTACCTACAATCAAATTAGCTAAAAAGGCTAGTGCATTCTAAACAAAATTCTTTATAAGCTAAGTAGTTATATTTCTAGAATTAAAAATAAAGACATTAATATTCTTAAATTAGCACTTTCCAAACTGTGCTCTAAAAATCAACACTCATAACCAAGGAGATGATAATAATGTACCATGGACAGCCCCTGTGGTGATGGTGTTGGTGGTTGTTCCTTTTAAAATAAACTTTATCTCAGGGTGCTCTCAAAGTGCATCTTTGTGGCCCATGAGGTGCTCATGCACGATGGGAGAAATTCAAATGCAGATACACTGTGGTGCCAGAGGAGAAAAGCTGTTCCTTCTTCCAAGACTAATGTCCAAAGTAGTACATGTTGACTTAGGCCTGCAACTCATTAAAAAGAAACTAATTCTTCACACGCAAAAAAAATTCAGTAAAGGGAACCTATACTTCTCACTGTGCTCAACATTGTCTAAAGGTATAAAGGCATCAAATAAATAGCTACACTTTTACTGAAATTGCTTACTTGCTAACTGATTTTTCCTTCCACCATGACATCTAAGATTAAAAGAGAAATCGATATTTAATATTTAGAATCTGGATATCAGTATATAGTTGACTCCAATTTCTTGAAACTGATTGAAGAGGACAACCAAATAGCTGAAATAATTTTAGAATAAAGGAATGTGCCCCTTGGCAATACAGTTGTACTCACGAGTTTAGTGTCATTGTAAGATGAGGGCGGCTGGCTGTGCTGTCATCAATGAATATGGTCGAGCATGAACTATAAAATTGAGGTAAATGCTCAGTAGATACCTGAAGAGGAAGGGACCTATATTGTAAACTTATCAAAGTGTATTTTTTTCTCAGTTAAAATGTCAAATGACAAAGCACTAAGATATTCCTTACACTCCATGAATTGCCTGAGTGTGGTATTGTGCACTCTATAGAAAACCCGTTGGAGGCTCTTAACTTCCAGAGATGATGTTTGAGATATGGGTTAGAAAATGCTGCTCTTAATATGCTACCTGTCATCAAACCTAACAAGGATTTTGTGACTAAGATTTCCCTGTTTTTTTGACAGTGACATAAAGCAGCTGAGAATTTCTACTATTTATTTACTACAATAAAATGTAACATATTAAATAATACTGGTACAGGAGCATTTCATTGCAATGAATAAAAAACTAATGCATTTACTAAGTTACTAGTCCTAAATGTATTATTTCAGCTGATATTGTGACAAAATAGGTGTTTCAGATTCAGAGGCTCTGTGTGCCAGGGCTGCTGGGCTACCAAGGAAGCCATAGGTTTCTCTAGTCCTGTTTTCTTATGTGGAGGATAAAAAGAATATCACTTAAATATTCTCACACCCTAAAAACAGATGACAACTTAAAAAATTTAACTTTTCCTTCATGTTTAAATGAGATTGCCATGACATGACTCAAATGAGACTCCCAGGGAACACTTGCCATTCGTTTCAAAACTTAACTAATTTCATTCTATAAATCATCCGACCTGCACCTAGGCATTTTCCTGCTATACCCCTGCCCTCTGCCTGCTGCCTTTCTCTTTTCTTGTTTCAGCAAACTTGACTCTATCTGCCCTCTTGGATTGATCTCTTTGACATCAGCCACACCAAAAACGGTCTCTTTATACACTAATTAGTCAAATTCACCACTGATTACAAGATACTAAATTTTTTTTATTTTCATAGGTTTTAGAGGGAACAGGTGGTATTTTAAGTTCTTCAGTGATGATTTGTGAGATTTTGGTGTGTACCCATCACCTGAGCAAGGAAATACTCGCAGAGTATTCCCCTCATGAGAAAGTATGCCTCTCCATAAGAGTAAGGGAGGGCTCTTACTTTTCCTATCTCTAGCTGCTGAGCACAGAATTTTGAGTAAATCAAAAACTTCGACAAGTGTTTGACAAATTCATTCCATCTTACTACATTTAATTACACCAAAAACACTACTAACAGTTTACTGTTTATAGGTATTATTTAAGGTAATCACAAAAAGAAACAAATCATCTAACTTCAGTCAGCATAAATCAGAGTCTGAAATTTTACGATCTTTAACAAGAAATAGAAGGGTTACGTAGAAGTTTAATAACAAAAACTAGAAAAGAATTACACCTGTAATTTAGTAAGTCAAACCAAAGGCTTACCATCAAAGGTCCAGTACCCATTGGATGCTGATGCCCAGCCACTGACTTCTTCCACTGTACCTGCTACCTCTCATTTTAACCCATGAAAAATACTAAAGTTGTTTTCCTTGTAAAGGTCTTTCACCTCCTTGGTTAGGTCCTTTCCTAAGTATTTTATTTTACTTTTACAGCTATTATAAAAGGGGCTGAGTTCTTGGTCTGGTTCTCAGCGTGGTTGCTATTAGGGTATAACAGAGCTACTGATTTGTGTATATTAATTTCATCTCCTGAAACTTTGTTAAATTCATATATCAGATCTAGGAGCTTTCTGGAGGAGTCTATAGGGTTTTCTAGGTATACAATCATATAATCAACAAACAGCAAGAGTTTGACTTCCTATTTACTGAAGTGGATGCCTTTTATTTCTTTCTCGTGTGATTGCTCTGGCTAGGTCTTCCAGTATTATGCTGAACAGAAGTGGTGAGAGTGGGGCATCCTTGTCTTGTTCCAGTTCTCAAGGGGAATGCTTTCAACTTTTCCCCATTCAGTATTATGTTGGCTGTGGGTTTCTCATAGACGGCTTTTATTACATTGAGCTATGATGCCTGTATGCCAATTTTGCTGAGAGTTTCAATCATAAAAGGAGGCTAGATTTTGTCAAATGCTTTTTCTGCATCTATTGAGACAATCATGTGATTTTTGTTTTGAATTCTGTTTATGTGGTGTATCATATTTATTGACTTGTGTATGTTAAACCATCCCTGCATCCCTTGTATAGAACCCATTTCATCATGGTGGATTATCTTTCTCATGTGCTGGTGAGAACTACAATCATTGCTGAATGAAATCATGGACACAAACAAATGGAAAGACATACCATGCTCATGAATAGAGAGAATGAATATTGTGAAAATGACCATACTGCCAAAAGCAATCTATAAATTCAATGAAATTCCCATCAAAATACCATCATGCTTCTTCACAGAACTAGAAAAAACAATCCTAAACTCATATGGGACCAAACAAGACCCCACATAGCCAGAACAAAACTATGCAAAAACAACAAATCTCGAGGCATCACCTAACCTGATTTCAAACTACACTGTAACGCCATAGTCACCAAAACAGCATGGAACCGGTATAAAAACAGGCATATACACCAATGAAACAGAATAGAGAACCCAGAAATTAACCCAAATACGTATAGCCAACTGATCTTCAACAAAGCCAACTAAAACATTAAGTGAAAAAAGTAAACCTTAGTCAACCAATGGTGATGGGATCATTGACAAGCCACATGCAGGAGAATGAAACTGGATCCTCAACTCTCACCTTACACAAAATCAACTCAAGATGGATCAAGGACATAAAATCTATGTCCTAAAACCACAGAAATTCTAGACGATAACATTGGAAAAAACCCTTTTTGACCCTGGCTTAGGCAAAGACTTCATCGCCAAGAACTCAAAAGTAAATGCAACACAAACAAGTGAGACTTAACTAAAGAGCTTCTGCACAGGAAAAGAAACAATCAGCAGAGTAAACAGACAACCCACAGAGTGGGAGAAAGTCTTCACAGTCTATACATCTGACAAAGGGCTATTTTCCAGAATCTACAAGGAACTCCAGCAAATTACAATTTACAAATTATAATTACAAAATATGGAACCAGCCCATATGCCCATCAATCAACAAGTGAATAAAGAAACTGTGATATACATAGATAGATAGATAGATAGATAGATAGATAGATAGATAGATAGATAGATAGATACAGATATATGATGGAATATCACTGAGCCATAATATTGAATACATTCATGGCATTCCATTCCCAGAAACCTGGATGAAATTGGAGACTGTTATTCTAAATGAAGTCACTCAGGAATGAAAAACTAAACATTGCATGTTCTCATCCATACATGGGAGCTAAGCAATGACGATGATACAGTGGACTTTGGAGACTCGGGGAAAGTCTGCGAAAAGACCACAAATCAGGTTCAGTGGATACTGCTCAGGTGATGGGTGCACCAAAATCTCACAAATCATCACTAAAGAGCTTACTCAGGTAACCAAATACCACCTGTTCCTCCAAAAAGAAATAAAAAATAAATAAACTACAGCATTCTTCTCAGCAAACATAAAAAAAATAATAAAAGCTAAAGGTTACATTTTTCTCTCTGCTTTTTGGCAGAACAAATTTCAGGTACGTTTTTAAACAATTAGTAACTCTTTTCCTTTTTCTGAGATAGGGTCTCACTTTGTTGCCCAGGCTGGAGGGCAGTGGTGCAATGACAGTTAACTGCAGCCTCAAACTCTTGAGCTCAAGCAATCCTCTGCCTCAGCCACCTCAGTAGGCAAAACTAAAAGCATGTGCCACCATGCCTGGTTAATTTCTTAGTTCACCTTTTTGTGGAGATGAGGCCTTGCTTTGCTGACCAGGCTAAAAATAAACAAATCTTAATTAACTTAAATATTTCTAACACTGTGAGCATTCATGAAAACAGCTCCATCTATGTTGTCAAGTAATAGGATAATATGGCAGTGTATAAAGTTTGAATGAAAATATTAAACAAGGCCTTAGAAGAAAACTGTAATATGCTTATTATAGATATATCACTAAAGAATTGTCTTGGTAAATATCATTAATGATACTAAAATGAAACTTTGATTTACACTTAAATACAGGTCTTAAAAAAAAATAAGAAAAAAGAAAAACAGAAAAAGAAAGTGACTGGAACAGAAGTGAGCAGTTTGTCTTGCAGAGCTAAAGGCAGGCTGTGAATTTCAAGGCAAATAGCACTTTGAAAAGTAGGGTAATTTGTAAAAAGTAGGGCAAAAGCCATCAAGGTCAGTTGAAAATCTGTGATTAGAGCCCCAAGTCCACCTGTCCTCCCATCTGGTAAGACACTTAGATGTGTGTTCCCTGAATATACCAAACCTGAGAATTTCTGGCTCATAGCTACCGTGGCCTAAACCTGAGATATAAACAAAACTGTACAGCAAAAATGGAACTCCAACTTTCTTCCCTAACTCTGATTTTGGAAAGCGAGTAGCCAGGCAGAAACTTGGGAAATCCTTCTCAAGAAACTCAACTGTCTCGAATAAAGATCCCCAGATAATACACTGAGGTCCCCCAAGTGAAAAGCTGGTTTGGCTTCCAAAACCTCACACTGGTGCCATCAGTTAACACAAGTCATGCTTTCAAAATCAAGTAAGCCAGGGACCACCGCACAAGAGAGACTGAAGCCTCCAACAAGAGAGACTGAAATAACAAAAAAAAATTTCACGGGACCAGTCAAAGTCAGGAGCAAAACTTTAATAAAAAAATCTTCACCGGGCGCGGTGGCTCACGCCTGTAATCCCAGCACTTTGGGAGGCCAAGGCGGGTGGATCATGAGGTCAAGAGATCAAGAACATCCTGGTCAACATGGTGAAACCCCGATCTCTACTAAAAATACAAAAAAATTAGCTGGGCACGGTGGCACATGCCTGTAATCCCAGCTATTCAGGAGGCTGAGGCAGAATTGCCTGAACCTAGGAGGCGGAGGTTGCCATGAGCCGAGATCGTGCCATTGCACTCCAGCCTGGGTAACAAGAGCAAAACTCCATCTCAAAAAAAAAAAAAAAAAATCTTAAAACACCCTAAAAAATATAAAATTCAATAGACATAGTAGAGTATAAACTCACAGAATATCCCAGAAGTAGAATAAAAAG